AGTCTGAACTTATGTGTCAGAAGGGGGACTAATACTTGGGTCTCCCCAGTTTCAATCGAGCACTGAAACCGCTCCACCACACTAGTTCTCTGTCGTCGTTTTCAGTTGTATTCTGCTATTTTACAGAATTCTTCCTACAAGCATGTTATCCGCTTGAGAAAAATGTAGCCCTTATTCTGGAAAATAGCTTTTCGTCTGCTCAATTTTTTAAAAAAGGTTGTTTCCTCCCCCTGTCTCTCTCTGCCTGCACCCACTGGCTTATACTCTACCTAGCTGGCATATTTGGCCTGGGGCAGAAACCCTTCCACCCTCCTGGACAAATGGCTGCCCAGCCTTTATCTGAACATTTCCAGAGATGGCGCACCTGCAGCTTCAGGAGGGAGGCCCTTCCGTTCTCATCTTTTACCTGGCCAGAAGAGTAATTGGAGTTCAACAGGGGATAATGGGGATGTCGGCCTGGATATGGAGCCTTGAACATTCTCCAGCCTCTTCCTGTTAATAAGGCTTTTTGCTCGTTCTCTAATTAGGGTGCTTGGTGGTCCACGTTCCATTTCTTTAGAAGCAAGGGAGGATTTTGCTATTTTCTCCAATCTGGCAACGTTTTCCTATATTGTATGAGATCCCTGATTAGGTACATCAACTTTTCCCTTACTCATGGAAGACGGAGAGAGGAAGGACTACACACATTTCTGAAGCTCCTGAACATCTTAACCCAGTTTGCAACTGAACATTTTTCAAGCACATCCTTTCGCCCTTAGGAACCAGAAACTTGATCTGTGCTGTTTTCAAATAGGCAAGAGATCCTCAAGCCCTGAATTTGGCGTTACTGTTTTTTGTATTCCATCAGCTGTGACATGCAACCCTGGCCTCATGTGCTGCTTTTGCAAGATCTGTCTGCTGTTTGCTGCAGCTTTTCTGTAAGCCAGAGGTGGGTGACCTGCTACTCAAGGACCACATGCAGTTGGCCTAATTTAATACAGCTCTATTGGAAGGGAGCGGATCAGTCTCCTTCTTGCAGCTTCCTCCTTGGGAGACAGAAAAGAGAATGCCAGAGAAAGCAGAGGATGGATCTTCCTATCCACTTTTGGCTCCAACCCTTCTCTGCCTGAAGCTGTTGTGCAAAGCCAGTCAATCAGTTTGTTCATTCGATTTGTATTTCACCAGATCCAAACAAGCAACCATTTACAAAGCACTGAAAAAGAAAACAGAACAACCCCAGTATATATAATCAAAAACGAATCAAGGTTATAATAATAAAAGGATAATTATAATAGTAGTGATCATAAAAAGCAGAACTAAATAATACCAATTAAGTCAATATAAGGAACTCAAAGGAGGGAAGTGGCAAATGATTCAACCAACATTCTTTGGAAAAGTTCCATTGTGAATAGTTTCCGGAACATTGGAAGGGACGCAGCAAATCTTATTTCTCGGGGGAGAATATTCTACAAGGCTGGAGTCACAACAGAGAAATTGTTTCTGAGAAATTAATCTCCGTGCCCCTTACTTCACAAATATGGGGTATGACCGAGAGGTTCCACACATACTGTGGGGGCCAATTTAGGTAAGGTGGACCTGCAGTAAGCTAGGTGCCAGATCATAGGTGTTTTATAGATAACAACCAGAGTTTTGAATTATACCTGGAAATCTGGTAAATAGTGAGGGACCAAAGCACAGGCGTCATGTGCTCTTGGCAAGTAACACCCACCAAATGGGCTGCTACGTTTTGCACTACTAGCAAAAAACTAAGAGAACTGGGTATTAATCTGTTGTGCGATCCCAGCTAGCCTTTGACCCAGTGGCTGCATTCGCACAACCTGATTCACACAGTTACTTGAATCATTCATGTGTACAATACACCACAATATCCTAACTAAACAGGCCAGGCTCAGATTAGCATACTGTACAAATTCAGCCAATCTGGCCTGGTTAAGCATATCCTGTAGTAAACCATGGTTTGCTCAAATAAATATAGCACATTCACATAGCATGTAGCTAAGCCCCAACATTGCCTGTTATGTTCATAGAGTTTTGGACACAAGGACCTTGGTTATCATTTGCCCAACCCCCCTGCCCCTATTGCAGCATCTCTGACAGATGGCCACCAAGCCTGTGATCAAACCCTTCCAAGGTCTACCATCTGTCACGTTAGGCTGTTTTTTGTCAGACAGCTGTTGGTAGGTGTTCCCCGCCAAGAGCACATGGCACCTGCGGTTTGGTCCCTCCATTAGGAATGTATTCTTGATGACCAACTGAAATCTGCTGGGTTGTAATGTAAACCCACCCTTTTTCATGCACTCCCCTGGAGAAACTCTGAACAATTCTGCTCTGACATCTACATAACCTCTTCAAATATGTGAAAGAGAGTTCTGAAGTCTGCCCCCCCTCCCAGCCTTCTCTTCTCCAAACCAGACACAATATTCTAG